TTCAGTCTTATTTTTTGCTCTATTTGTTATGTAAAGACTAAGGGCAGATCTGTCCTTTCCATGTAATGAGCATAGCCTATAAATATTAATTAAAGTGGTGGCAGCAGAACATTAAGCTTCTGCTCCTCCTTTCAACTCTTGTGTTCTATTGCTTCTCCTCCCTCTTCCTCTTCTTTCCTCTTACCTTTCCTCTTACTTTCGATCCTGAAATTCATTAGGGTTCAAGACTGATAACAGTCCTGAACTTCTACTTGATTGATTACAGAAAATTCTATTGTTTCTTTCCATCCAAACGGACCAAAGAACAGCCTGYGGAATAGTATTCCAAACAAGCCTGCCTTTCTTGCTAAGACCCTCCAATCTCCAACTCATAAACAGCTCCTTCACAGACTTAGGCATAGCCCAACACACCTCTTGTTTCTTGAAGAAATGTCCCCAGATTGAAGAGGAAATCGGACAGTGAATGCACAAATGATCTATAGATTCAGCACCCATGCCGCATAAAACACAGGAGGGATCAGGAATCTGAACACTCCTTCTCTCCAAGTTGACCCTAGTTAAACATTTATTCATACTCATTAGTTGCTAATGATAGAAAATGTTAACAGTTTTTATAGATCAACCAATAATCTATTACAAAAAAAAAACTAATATTTAACTTAATGTTTGAAATGAATATTGAGCTAGCTCAAAGTGGTAATCATGTAAGTTAGGTGGGCAATAGTATTGTTAATCCACATATCTACAATATTGTCGTCAACTTATGTTATAATACTATCTCTTGTACTCCATATAGTGCTGGTAAGTATTCATTGGGGAATATGTCAATTCCAGTAAAATTTCGTGTCATTACCCATGGAAATGGAAATATGCCGTGGAAATATTAGGGAATGTAGGGACATTTTTTGACCATGAGTGATTGGATAACTTATTACACATTAGTTATAGTCCCTATCAGATACGATATATTGCCTTGCTATTATCTTCTGCATCTTGGCATTTTTTCTGCTGCATCACTTATAAAACGAAACTCATCTTGGCATGCATCTTAATTTGAGAAAAAAAAAGGATATCCTACCTTTTTTTTGTGTTAAACAGTATGATGTGTTGTTAAACACTTCCTGATGTTTCTCAATTGCTTATAATTTTTGATTTACAAACAATTTTTCAATTGCTTCTAATTTTTTGCTTTGCACATTGTTTCTAGTAGTAACACTTTCATTTTCTTGAGAACTGTTTAACAGGTGTCATTATTGCTCAATCTGTACGTATCATACTTCTTTGTTTGAACTTTCCAGGTATCACAGGTTGTCCACTGCAAGCATACATATTCATGGGTCCAATTTACTACCAGAAACTTAAACACATGGTAAATTCAACAAGTTTCCACTTTAACACTCCAAAATATTGTGTTTGACCTTTGAAGCTTGGCTGCTGGTTGATTACATTTAATGGAATTTTCTAATTCGTGTAATTCAAAGTCTTGCTATTGCTAGAGGCTGGATTTTCTTTTGGGGAAGTGAAATGGCATGATCATGTTTTATAAGTAACATCCAACTATTACAACATAGTTACTATATAATATTTTATTTTGTAATATCATTATCATCTAAGCCTTGTCCCAATTATATGGGGTTGGCTACATGAATCCTGTTTCTGTAATATGATGAGATTCTTTATTAGTAACAAAAACTCTCATAAGTGGATAAAAGGAGTATAGAAACAAATGAGACGATTACAAATTGGTCATGCCCACCCAAAAAATACAGTACTGACCAACCCAAGCTTAAATCAGATGTTCTGGCTCCAAACAGATCAACCATATTTACTTACCCCAGCTGAAGAATCAGCAAGAAGTTTGATTTTCATCTCCATTGGAACGAGATACACTGACCACAGTTGCATCTGTACACCATTTAGCCTCTAATTGGTGTAATGGTAAAATCTTTGGCTGACAAGCATGCAAAAATAATGCCAATCCATTCCACCCTTCCCAAGACCTCTAATAGCTGGGACCAACATTTATGACCTTTTTTGTAATAAAATGTTTTCGAGTGTATTTCTCAAGTTATTTCAGAAACAATGGCCAAGAATATAGAAGCCATGAACTGCTAAAGCTGCCTTTGCAAAATGGCATCTGTTCTGGTTTATATATCTAATTTTAGGGAGAGAATCTCATAGAACATAACAAATCTTTAAACGCCAGTAGAAATTTAATAGATCCTAATTTATCTGAGATCATAATAAAAACAAAGAGTTGTCGCCAAACTATGATTTGTCTAGTAGGACTGCAATCAGTCCTAGATATAATGTACAATAAACAAAGAAAAAAGGTATGAGAATGAGAGAAGGAGAAGACGAAGAGAAGAAGTCGAAAAGAGTGTGGGCTATAACTAGAATTGTCGCCCCACTCAGCTATTTATATTAATAATTAAAATAGAGGGAAAAGCCAGAATTACCCCTACTGCTTACATAAGCAAAGAAAGAAATAAGAAATAACTACCAACTGAAAATAACCACTAATCATAAATAAACAAACAGTAGTGGGGACCACATTAATGTTCTCTACACTATGAAACTCAAAAGAGAAGCTGCTGAGAAGTATGTGGTTACACTAACAGAAAGAGATCTGGTACCATGTATCTGGAAATTATCGTTTACACCAACAGAAAGAGATCTACCCACCGATGTGATGTTGCAGCAGAATTAGTCTATCATTACTAACTCATCCCACCCTATCACCACCTGTGAATCTCTTTACACCAGCATAGAAAACCTGGCCGAGGCCACACAATCCTTGTAGAAGAGTGCCTGAACAAATCAACAAAAAGTTCTATCCATGTTCTCTAGAAAACCCTCTAATAAACTGTTCAACAATAGAAACTTCAGGGGTGTGGACCCCATATCCATTTCTCACCCCATTGAGAATTGTCGTACAATGATGGTTTCCATAATCATTTATTTAAAATATGTTTTACTCACTATTTAACAAATAATGTTTTGTGGAAAATAAGGAACCACATATTTTATCATTTTCCATGTTTGTTTTAACTCCTTGATTTTAGGTTCTAGATAAGATGCATGCTCGAGCTAGAGGACCACGTGTCATGCTAACTAGACAGCCAACTGAAGGGAGAAGCCGTGATGGAGGTTTTACATAGATATTCCTTTCTTTTCTTCTGGCATTCCATTGCAGATGAGTGCTTGTAAATTAATTTTTTGACACTTCCAGGACTACGACTTGGAGAGATGGAACGTGATTGTTTGATTGCTTATGGTGCTAGTATGTTAATATTTGAGCGGTTAATGCTCTCCAGTGATCCTTTTGAGGTTCAGGTATTAAATGCATGTCCATGAAAACCTGTTCTCTGGTAATTTTTCTGCATTAATTGATGAACAACATCATTTTGCATGTTTGCAGGATTATTTGCTTAAAATAATGTGGTTATTTCTATCCAATACCATTCAAAAAGGAAAACTAAGTTTAGTTGTTGTTTTGTTGGGTTACATTTTCCTTGCTTCATTCAATAATAAAAAGTTCTGTTGTTAATTGACTGTTAGTTCTTTTCTTTTACTTAGATTGTGCCACAGAGGTATATTTGTAATTTTGGCCTTCTTTTATTTTGTTTAAGCTGTCCATGCTATAAGTATAAAACAGGAGCATTGCCAGCTCTGATTTCTTTGGCTCTTGAACCCCTCTTCTCTCTTCCTCTCTTCTCTTCTTCTCCTCTCTATTCTCTGCTTTTTCTGGATAGAAAACATGGTATCAGAGGAGATTGTTGAGAGATGGAAGCACTTACATTGCAGTTTCCTGTTCTTTTACCGAGAATTCTGTTTTTTGGACTGTGAATGGAATTAAACCTTGACCGCCCTTCTGTTTCTTGGGTTGTGTGCCTCCTTGCATGTGCTATGAAGGGATTGTGTGATTCTTTCTTGAGTAGGTGGGGGTAGTCCTCTATTGCCGCATGTAGTGTGTGGATTGCACGTGTTTGAAGGTTGAGTTTTTGAACTAGTACAATGGCTATAGTTGGTGTTCCAGTAATTCTCCTTAGTTTTAGTAGTTTGGTTGGTTCCTGTTGTGTGGTGTAATCAATTCCAGCAGCTCTTCTTAGGGTCTTAGTGTTTGTTCTAATTGAAACTGATGAATTTTTTTCTTCTGGTGTTAATCTACCCAAGGAACAACTAGTGTAGGGGCTGATAGCTTGAAATTCCCTAGGCCAATCACCCTTCTAAATGGAATAAAATTACTTGGAGTGGTCTAACGGTATCAAATTCTATGTTATAGCCAGGGGGAAAGCTGGATATATTAATGGGATGGTGAAGGAACACAAGAGTGGAACTGTTGAACATGATAGGTGGGATCAGGAGAATAATATTGATAATGCCCTGGCTTATTGTGGCTATGAAACCTGATGTGAGGAAAAAATTTATGTGGACTAACACTGCTAGTGAGATATGGGAACAGGCAAAATCAACCTGCTCAGAGAAGAGGCATTATGCCAAGATCTATTAGTTACAAGGTTAGTCCTCAACTTGGAAGTAGGGGAATTGTAGTTTATCAGCTTACTATTCAGCCCTCACATTTGTGTGGAAGGAGTTAGATCACTACCATGCCATTGATTGCAAGCCTGACGATGATGTGCAAAGGCCTATAATAAGTTGGTCTCTTAGCAACGGGTCTTCGCCTTTTTGTTGGGACTAAGCCTTGTGTATGAACCTCGTAGGGTCCAAATTTTGGGGAGTAATGAGCTGCCCTCAATCGAGGAGGTGTATGCACTTTCAATCTTGGAAGAGTAGGCATAATATGATGGTTGTAGCTGAGGGAAACCAAAATGGGTAATCAAGAATCAAGAACAAAATAAGTTCTAGGGACAAAGGAAATACAATGCAGCTAATGTGGCAGCTTAAGATACTCAAAGGCTACTGGAATTACTCAAGAACGCCATGATGGTTTTGACCCCAAGGAGGATATCATTGACTCCTATTGTAACCACTTGGAATCATATGGTAGGGCTTTACAACAAATGGACAGTGTGAACAGCACTATGTTTCTCTACTACGACAAGGCAGCTATAAATATTGTAGCTAATCCTGCCCTCCTTGATAGGACGAAGCATGTTGAAGTGGACAAGCATTTTATAAGGAAGAAACTGGATAAAGGTGAAGTTTGCAGTCCTTACGTCAACTCAAAGGATCAACTTGTAGATGTTCTTATCAAGAGGCTTCAGTGTTTGCGGCACAATGAGCTTTGTCACAAGTTGGGCACGATAAACATGCACAGCCTAACTTGAGGGGGAATGTTTTTTAATTGATTGTTGGCTCTTTTATTTACTTACATTGTGCTACAGGGGCATATTTGTAATATTTGCCTTCTTTTGTTTTTTAAAATTGTCCATACTAAAATAATAAAACAGGGGTGCCACCAGCCATGATAGAAGGCTGATGTTGATCACCTATAGCCTGTACTCAGGTTCAGCTTCTGCAAGAAAACATAGAAAGAAAGGGAAAGGCAGAAGAAAGAAGAGAGGAAGAGAAGAGAAGAGGAAAGAAGAAGAATGAAAAGAAGGGAGCAGTTCTAATCTATTCTGCTGCCCAGATTTGATATTTATTGGTTTCTATCATAAAATAAATTACAAAGACTACTATACCCCTGCTGACTAAGATACTACTTAACAAAATATAATAGTAACTAATGTAGGCCCAACTAACAGGCACATGACAAGGCCCAAACAGATAAATTAAAGAAATAACTATTATTGTTTCTCTACACTTCCTCAAGTTGGGAATAGATATTGGTCATTCCCAACTTGCATAAATTTGTCTCTAACTTGACCCTTGTAACTGCTTTGGTGAAGACATCAGCAAGCTGCATATCAGAGGCAACATACGGAAGGCAAACTTCTTGGGAGGCAACTCTTTCTCTAACAAAATGTCGATGCACCTCAATATGTTTGGTTCTATCATGCTATATGGGACTATGAGCAATATTAATAGCGGTTTGGTTATCGCAATACAGCATTAGTGGCCTTTCATATTCAACCTCTAACTCCTCAAGTAGTGATCTATAACACTTCAGTCACCCCATTAGCCATAGATCGATACTCTGCTTCAGCACTAGAGTGGGCAACAACATTTTGTTTTTTTTTTTACCTCCAACAAGAGCACAATACCTTGAGGTAGATCTCCTATCATCCACACAACCCGCCCAATCTGCATTAGTGTACACTTCTATCTTCATATGACCATTATTCTTGAAGAGTATACCTTTGCTTGGATACCTCTTTAAGTAAAAAGCAAGGTTTAAAATTTCGATATGATATGCCCGATACGGGGCGTATCATATCGTATCTTTGAAAAACAGATACAAGATACGCATGGAAATCGGACGTCTCGTCTTTTTTTCATGCGTATTGGACCCATATTGGACCGTATTGGGGCGTATCGGGGGTGTATCGGTAGCGTATCAACGAAAAAGATATGGCCAAAAACTGGAAAAAAAAATAAAGGGGAAAAGCAAGCTTCTTTTCCTTGAAATAAGCCTTCTTTCACCCCCAAGTGACTCTAAAACTCCAAACCTCATTCCTAGAGTGCTAGATTCGCAAAAAAATGTAAGAAACAAGTGTGAATCGTTTTTTTTATTTTTTGAAAAATTTTCAAATTTTGAAAAATATGGAAAAATAAGTAAATTTGTTCAATTTTTATAATATCTTGTGATTCCTTTTTTTCTTGAATGTTTAATTTTATGCTGATCTACATTTCTTACATTCAAAAGCATAATTTTTTTGTTTTATTAATAAATTTATGGAAATTTCATGAAGATGTAATTTTGAAAATTTCTATCATATACATAGAGCAATTGAAATTTTTTTGAAAATTTCTTCTTGGGAGGCAATTTTTTATGGATTTATGTACATAGAGCAATTGAAAATGTAAAGTACATAGAGGTTTGCCTTCTTGTCGATGCACCTCAATAAAATTTCTTCTATCATATACATAGAGCAATTGAAATGTAAAATACAATTTGTTAAATGTATTTCTTCTTGTCGATGCACCTCTATGTGTTTTGAAAATTTCTTCTTGGGAGGCAATTTTTTCAATTAATAAAAATTTTGAAAATGTAATTTTTCTCTTCCTATAAAGACTAAATATGTTTTAGATCTATGGATTTATCTATCATATTCATAGAGCAATTGAAATTTCTTATTTAGTATTTTTTTATTTTTTATATTTTTAGAATTAAAAAAATCAGTAATAATTAATTATATTTTATCATTTGATCAGAACAATTGAATATATTATAATTCTATGGATGATCTTTCATATCCACAAACTAATTGAAATTTCTTATTTAATAATTATTTTTTTATTTTTTATTTTTAGAAATAAAAAATAACTAATTAATTAATTACATTTTATCATTTGATCACAATGATTGAATATATTATAATTCTATGGATGAGATCTATCATATCCACAAAACAATTGAAATTTCTTCTTTAATAACTATTTTTTTAATATATTATATAATGTTTATTTATTTTTTATAATTTTTGAAAATAAATATTGATTATATTTTCACTTAGAAGTTGTGCCAATGCATGTTTTTTGGTTGGATAGGAGAGTTGAGTTTTTCCCATCCCATAAAACATTAACACTTAAGAATTATAATTTATAAATTATAGTTAAGCATAGGTTTTTTAATGAAATTATAATTACCTACAATATATTTCTTCATAAAACCATTAAAGTATATTAATTTAATGTATATACACCTCATTGAGGTCTTATATTTAGTATTATTGATGTATTTTTATGATTTATTAAAGTATTTATAGTGTTTCCAAGCATATCTTAGTTTTTCTCCGATACGCATGCATATCCAAGGTGTATCCCGATACGTCTCTTAAAATTGCCTTTCCGATACACTTGGCGTTTTCGATACTTTGAACCTTGGTAAAAAGTATCTGTTCAACTACAAGAAGATGGGATGTTCTGGGAGACTGCATATACTGATTGACTACACTGATAGCATAAGAAATAACTAGTCGTGTTAGGCAAAGTTGGAGAAGCTTTCCAACCAGTCGTTTATACATGACTTTATCTTCAAGTGGCTCACCTCCTTTATGCATTTATCTTGTGCTCAGCTTAATTGGTGTGTTTGATGGTTTAACTCCCAATTTTCTAGTCTCTTCTAGGAGATCAAGGGTATATTTCCTCTGTGAAATGAAGATGCATGCCATGCTTAGATCTAGCCACTTCAATTCCCAGAAAATATCGCAAATCACCCAGATCTTTCACTTCAAACTCCTTACTAAGTAACTTTTTTAGGGAATCAATCTCATCATTGCCAGTGCTTGTTACCACAATATCAACATATACAACCAAGAGAGTTAGGGCTGAACATGTTTTCTTAAAAAATAGGGTGTGATCTGATTGAGCTTGTATATAGCCAAATTTTTCCAAGGCATGTCTAAACCTGTCAAACCATGCCCTTGGGGACTGTTCAAACCATACAAAGCCTTCTTAAGTTAGAAAACTTTCTTTCCATTATCTTCATCATAGAAACCAGGGGGCAACTGCATATATACTTCTTCCTTGAGATCACCATTCAAAAAGGCATTCTTAACATCTATCTAGAACAGCAGCGATGAAAAGTTTGCAGCAAGTGACAACAACACTCTGATTGTCTTCATTTTGGCAATTGGTGCAAAGGTTTCTACATAATCAATACCATAAGTCTGTGTGTATCCCTTAGCAACCAGTCGGGTTTTGTATCTTTCAATTGAGCTATCTACATTGTACTTCACAATAAATATCCATCTGCACCCAACCAGTTTCTTCCCTCTTGGTTGATCTACTAGCTCCCAAGTATCATTTTTGATAAGTGCATCCATCTCTACCTTCATTGCCTCTCTCCACTCAAGTACCACCAGGGCTTCATGCACTATTCTAGGAATGGGTACAGCAGCAATGGACACCAAAAAGGACTTGTATGATGGTGAGAGGTGGTCATAAGAAAGAAACTGAGAGATGCAATGGGTAGTTGGTGAGGTGCAACGATGTTTCCCTTTGCGTATTGCAATAGGAAGGTCAAGATCATCTGTGAGTGGTTGAGGTTCAATGGTGGGTACAGAGGGTGTAATACCTGAATCTGGAGCCTCAGAAGTGACTAGATGTGGCCTGGACTGCTCATCATTGGAACCAACTTGCTTCCACAATTGTCTGTGAAACACCCTCAACTCCTTGCACTTCTGACAGCTCCCCTCACTACTCTCCCCCTCAGTGATAGGTTCAGTTTCTACAAGAAAGCACAGAAAGAAAGGAAAGACAAAAGAGAGGAGAGGAAGAGAAGAAGAGAGAAGAAGAATGAAAAGAAGGGAGCAGTTCTAATCTATTCTGCCGCACAGATTTGATATTTATAGGTTTCTATCATAAAATAAATTACAAAGACTACTATACCCCTACTTAACAGAATATAGCAGTAACTAATGTAGGCCCAACTAACATGCCCATGACAAGGCCCAAACAGATAAAATAAAGAAATAATTACTAAACTGTTTCTCTACAACTTTGGCTCGCAAACCCCCTCTTCTCTCTTCCTCTTTTCTGCTCTCCTCTCTGTTCTCTGTTGTTTCTGAATAGAAAACAAGTTCCATTAATGATCAAGGGGAGAATAGACAAAAGACAAAGGCACTAAGGAGAGGTAAAGGGAACAAAAGTATCAGTCAAGCCTTAGACAGCCACTCCATGGTAACCAGGTCATAGTGCACCACCTGCAACAAGTATCATGATAAAAGGAAATCCCCACAACTATGGGGGGATGCCACTAAAAAATACAAGGAGATCCTTCTACAAAACCACAACTCTGAGAACAAACTGACCCCAAAACCAATGAACCTCTACTGAGAATAATGACACGAACATGGACAACTAAAAGGGAAAATTGGAAAGATAATATCACGATACATACCCCTCTCATTAACCATCAAAGAGAGGTGATAGAAAACTACCCCATGCCTCTTTTGCAATAACTTCTTTATTCTCTAGAAACTACAAGTTTGTTATATGGTTATCTTACTGAACCTTCCTTTTTGTCATTTTTTTTGGGGGGGGGATTGGGGGACAGGTCTGCAGGGTTTGTGGTTTGTTAGGATATTACAACCATAAGCTGAAAACAGGTATCTGTTCCACATGCAAAAGTGGAGATCATATATCTAAAATGAAGTTGCCATATGCATGCAAGCTCTTATTTCAGGTAATTTTCAATTCATTAATTCACTCTGCCTAAATGTATATTTGCATATATGTACATTGTTTTCATACTCCCCTTCTATGAGCAAGGACAGTCAACAGGGTTAGATGGATGGTTTGGCATTTTTATGTGTACCATCCCTTGGAAGGAAACCCTTTTCATTGCAGACTTCAAAGCCCATGCATGTAGTAGAGGAACTAGATTTGTGTGAGTGAGGTTATTACATACACATTTCATGTATTCATGCATGACAGTATAAAGGAATAGGCAACATTCACATTCTGATAATTCCCTGTTATGTTAACTACTTGTCTTATATGAATATAATAGAGAAAGGTCTTGTTAGAGGCACAGTTTTCTTACTTGCTTTTTGAGAAAGTTGAATTAATATCATTGTTCAATTTTTTGATACATTATTGTCGTTGTTGTATTAATGCTTACCTGTCATCATGTAAATGTTTCTGAGTGCAAACCATATCCAAGAAATCTTTTTTTTTTTTACAAATATAATGATTGGGATAAAAACTTCCTAGATACAATTTTCTTTCTTGTTTCTTTTCTGTAGATTTTCAAGACTGCTATTCAGTCTTGATCACTAAGAGATTTTAGGTTCGATGAGAAGGGAAAGTGAAGATGTAGAAGAAAGAGTGATGGAAGAGCAATAGAACACA